ATAATTGTTGGAGGTTACAACTGCCGGAGAATCAACTGGCACAGTATGTTGTTGCATGGAGACTACAGACATCACGACTGAAGTATTAGCGACAACAGATTGAGGGCTGCACGAAAATCACCATTCTTTGAATTCTTTAAGATTTCATATTTAAATGGGGTAGATGTTACTTTAGTAGACTTGGATTTATTTGGAGTTATATTGTCGATCACAGAATTGTCATTAGGCATGTCAGTATTGGTGGAATTAAGATCGGTAGCAGACAAACGATCGTTGGGGTCTTCAGCGGCGGCCAAGATGTTGTTGGCAGCGTTACTTCCGCTCGCGTGACTATCAATATGTTGATTACAGACACTCGCATGACTCTGTGAATTATTAACACAATCGACTTTATCCGGAATGATTGCAATTTCAACCTGAGTTTCGGCGATTTTAGGAAAGGTTTTCGATTTTAACTTGTCAGGCGATTGAGAATTATCAGTTCCACTTGATTTAGGGCGATAAACATCGTGGCGATCAGAACAATTTGAAGGAGAATGAAATAGTTTTGTATTTGGCACAGGTGAGTTGGAATATATGCGGGATTTGTTTACATTGTAACGCATATTCGAATCAAACGATTTGTAGCCTGAATCTTCGATGTTAGAGGCAATAGACGACGATTGAAACGGTGTAGATAAGGGATTTAATGAAGGCGAATAAGCATACGACTTAGAGTCAGATTTCGGATCGTTTGGAGCTGTTATTTTCCATTCAACATGCAATAATAACTTCTTGTTTGAATACGAAGTTGACCACGAAGGCTGAGACAAATTATACGATGAAATAGCTTTAATAACAGCCTTCGGGAAAGGATCTTTCGACATAGAACGTGTACCATCACCAGTTGCCCATTCAAATTTGATTTTTAAACTCTTAGTAGATACATTAATATCCCATGATGAAATATCAACAATACTCGAGCAACTTTCGGCTACCATAACAGCCTGATACGGGATAGGAACACATGACGATTTAATATAATTATCCATGTTAGAGCTTTTAATAATCGGTGAATTTGGAGTTGGAAGTAAACCAGGACTCTTTGGAGAAAAACCATTATGATTTTGACGATAAATTGATGCCATAATGAGAGGAAAAAGGAACAAAATTTGATGAATAAACCAAATTGCAATAACACAACAATATAACGAAAAGTGAAAGTACCAAATATTTTCAAAAATACTTGACGGATCTTGACCAAATATATACCAAACGAAAGAGGAGACTCTTGGGAGTTGAATGATACCAAATTTGTCGACGAAATGTAAGTAATAGTGCAAGAAAAAAACACTAATACGAAGAGCCGAAAATTGCCGACAAAAATGTCACATACTACACTTGATCTTATTTTGAGTTGAACGACGAAGGGCTTATCGACTCTGACGGTGCAATGGAGCCCGGACCCGTGATATCGCCGCACCCAGGGGGTTGCTACACAGCAAGCAGACAACAGAGAGTACGACCCTCTCCCCCGTGCCATGAGACAGCCATGAGTGGCCTGAACGGTCGGATGCAAAGCACCTTCACGTCCAGGGGTCCCTAACCCTATGGTGATGAATGGTCCCTTAAACAAATGACGTTAACAAACAAATTACTAACAAAAATCACTGACAAAACAATCAATCCCCCTGAATACAAGGCAGTTCAACTAATGAAGGCGACCGCCCTTATGCAGAGAGAAACACAAAATGTAACTGACATAACATAAACAAAACAAACGAGAGAACTTTGAAGACAACAGCAGTACAACCAATAAAGGTGACCCCCGTGCCTCCAAAGGATCACAAGGAAGGAAGGCTAAGTAACAAAGTCCCGTGTGAAATGTATCCAATCTTGCTGGGTAATTGAACCAATAACACCATCGGCGAGCCACTCGTGAACAAAACGCTCTCTATGACAATGACGTTGGTGCATCCTCACAAGGAAGAGGAATGTCGACTTTGCTTTCTTCAACATTGTATCGGAATCCGGAGCAATATTTTCAAAACGGTGACTGTTGTGAGCCAACCACACATGATGGCGAAGGACACCTAACAGAGCTGTAAAAACAACTGGAATACCTGAAGAGGGAAGCAAACCAAACAAAATGTCACGATCAGACAACGCTGCTAATTGATTAAATTTCTGCAATTGGGACACAAACCAATCGAGAACCTCAGTAGCAAATGGGCAAGTGGTAAACAAGTGAATAAGCGACTCATCTTGGCTGCAAAAACAGAGGGGGTTAACATTCATGCCGAAGCGAGCAAGACGATCTGTAGGTAAAATACCATGAAACGATAACCATGCCGTATCTTGCACTGAACGGACAAAACGCCAAAGAGGCAAACATGCTGCCACTGAACTGCAAATCCTAGATTTTGAAATTTTGCGAGCAAACGATGTTCCACATGATGGTACTTTAATAAATACTTATAAGCCAATTTAGCTGTGATTTCATCAAAAGGGAGAAAATCACTGGATGGACAAGGAATCACCCACATGCCACGATTCTTGGTTCCTTTTAAATCAATCCAAGCACGAACTAACAACCCATAAAAAAGAGGAAGCTTCTTCACCAAATAAGCTGGGATAGGATCACATATTAACACATCCACCACAGCATCCTGACGAAAATGCAAAGAAATGTGATGGTCAAAAAAACACCGACCACGGATGAGGGAATGAGATAGGAAGCGACGAAGCCAAACCGCACGAAATGACAAGATTTTCATTGAAACATCCACAAT